ACTGCTTGGGTGATACCAATGTAGGAGAGGTTTGATTGATTACCTGCAGGTTTGACTGCTTGGGGGGGGGGGGTACCAATGTAGGAGAGGTTTGACTGCTTGGGTGATACCAATGTAGGAGAGGTTTGATTGATTACCTGCAGGTTTGACTGCTTGGGGGGGGGGTACCAATGTAGGAGAGGTTTGACTGCTTGGGTGATACCAATGTAGGAGAGGTTTGATTGATTACCTGCAGGTTTGACTGCTTGGGGGGGGGGGTACCAATGTAGGAGAGGTTTGACTGCTTGGGTGATACCAATGTAGGAGAGGTTTGATTGATTACCTGCAGGTTTGACTGCTTGGGGGGGGGGGGTACCAATGTAGGAGAGGTTTGACTGCTTGGGTGATACCAATGTAGGAGAGGTTTGATTGATTACCTGCAGGTTTGACTGCTTGGGGGATACTAATGTAGGAGAGGTTTGATTGATTACCTGCAGGTTTGACTGCTTGGGTGATACCAATGTAGGAGAGGTTTGATTGATTACCTTCAGGTTTGACTGCTTGGGTGATACTAATGTAGGAGAGGTTTGATTGATTACCTGCAGGTTTGACTGCTTGGGGGGGGGTACCAATGTAGGAGAGGTTTGACTGCTTGGGTGATACCAATGTAGGAGAGGTTTGATTGATTACCTGCAGGTTTGACTGCTTGGGGGATACTAATGTAGGAGAGGTTTGACTGCTTGGGTGATACCAATGTAGGAGAGGTTTGATTGATTACCTGCAGGTTTGACTGCTTGGGGGATACTAATGTAGGAGAGGTTTGATTGATTACCTGCAGGTTTGACTGCTTGGGTGATACCAATGTAGGAGAGGTTTGATTGATTACCTTCAGGTTTGACTGCTTGGGTGATACTAATGTAGGAGAGGTTTGATTGATTACCTTCAGGTTTGACTGCTTGGGTGATACTAATGTAGGAGAGGTTTGATTGATTACCTGCAGGTTTGACTGCTTGGGGGGATACCAATGTAGGAGAGGTTTGACTGCTTGGGTGATACCAATGAAGGAGAGGTTTGATTGATTACCTGCAGGTTTGACTGCTTGGGTGATACTAATGTAGGAGAGGTTTGATTGATTACCTGCAGGTTTGACTGCTTGGGTGATACCAATGTAGGAGAGGTTTGATTGATTACCTGCAGGTTTGACTGCTTGGGTGATACCAATGTAGGAGAGGTTTGATTGATTACCTGCAGGTTTGACTGCTTGGGTGATACCAATGTAGGAGAGGTTTGATTGATTACCTTCAGGTTTGACTGCTTGGGTGATACTAATGTAGGAGAGGTTTGATTGATTACCTGCAGGTTTGACTGCTTAGGTGATACTAATGTAGGAGAGGTTTGATTGATTACCTGCAGGTTTGACTGCTTGGGGGGATACCAATGTAGGAGAGGTTTGACTGCTTGGGTGATACTAATGTAGGAGAGGTTTGATTGATTACCTGCAGGTTTGACTGCTTGGGTGATACCAATGAAGGAGAGGTTTGATTGATTACCTGCAGGTTTGACTGCTTGGGTGATACCAATGTAGGAGAGGTTTGACTGATTACCTGCAGGTTTGACTGCTTGGGTGATACCAATGTAGGAGAGGTTTGATTGATTACCTGCAGGTTTGACTGCTTGGGTGATACCAATGTAGGAGAGGTTTGATTAATTACCTGCAGGTTTGACTGCTTGTGGGATACCAATGTAGGAGAGGTTTGATTGATTACCTGCAGGTTTGACTGCTTGTGGGATACCAATGAAGGAGAGGTTTGACTGCTTGGGTGATACCAATGTAGGAGAGGTTTGATTGATTACCTGCAGGTTTGACTGCTTGGGTGATACTAATGAAGGAGAGGTTTGATTGATTACCTGCAGGTTTGACTGCTTGGGTGATACTAATGAAGGAGAGGTTTGATTGATTACCTGCAGGTTTGACTGCTTGGGTGATACTAATTTAGGAGAGGTTTGATTGATTACCTGCAGGTTTGACTGCTTGGGTGATACTAATGTAGGAGAGGTTTGATTGATTACCTTCAGGTTTGACTGCTTGGGTGATACCAATGTAGGAGAGGTTTGACTGATTACCTGCAGGTTTGACTGCTTGGGTGATACCAATGTAGGAGAGGTTTGATTGATTACCTGCAGGTTTGACTGCTTGGGTGATACCAATGTAGGAGAGGTTTGATTGATTACCTGCAGGTTTGACTGCTTGGGGGGGGGGGGTACCAATGTAGGAGAGGTTTGACTGCTTGGGTGATACCAATGTAGGAGAGGTTTGATTGATTACCTGCAGGTTGACTGCTTGGGGGGGGGGGGGTACCAATGTAGGAGAGGTTTGATTGATTACCTGCAGGTTTGACTGCTTGGGGGGGGGGGGGTACCAATGTAGGAGAGGTTTGACTGCTTGGGTGATACCAATGTAGGAGAGGTTTGATTGATTACCTGCAGGTTTGACTGCTTGGGGGGGGGTACCAATGTAGGAGAGGTTTGACTGCTTGGGTGATACCAATGTAGGAGAGGTTTGATTGATTACCTGCAGGTTTGACTGCTTGGGGGGGGGGGGGGTACCAATGTAGGAGAGGTTTGACTGCTTGGGTGATACCAATGTAGGAGAGGTTTGATTGATTACCTGCAGGTTTGACTGCTTGGGGGATACTAATGTAGGAGAGGTTTGATTGATTACCTGCAGGTTTGACTGCTTGGGTGATACCAATGTAGGAGAGGTTTGATTGATTACCTTCAGGTTTGACTGCTTGGGTGATACTAATGTAGGAGAGGTTTGATTGATTACCTGCAGGTTTGACTGCTTGGGGGGGGGGGGGTACCAATGTAGGAGAGGTTTGACTGCTTGGGTGATACCAATGTAGGAGAGGTTTGATTGATTACCTGCAGGTTTGACTGCTTGGGGGATACTAATGTAGGAGAGGTTTGACTGCTTGGGTGATACCAATGTAGGAGAGGTTTGATTGATTACCTGCAGGTTTGACTGCTTGGGGGATACTAATGTAGGAGAGGTTTGATTGATTACCTGCAGGTTTGACTGCTTGGGTGATACCAATGTAGGAGAGGTTTGATTGATTACCTTCAGGTTTGACTGCTTGGGTGATACTAATGTAGGAGAGGTTTGATTGATTACCTGCAGGTTTGACTGCTTGGGTGATACTAATGTAGGAGAGGTTTGATTGATTACCTGCAGGTTTGACTGCTTGGGGGGATACCAATGTAGGAGAGGTTTGACTGCTTGGGTGATACCAATGAAGGAGAGGTTTGATTGATTACCTGCAGGTTTGACTGCTTGGGTGATACTAATGTAGGAGAGGTTTGATTGATTACCTGCAGGTTTGACTGCTTGGGTGATACCAATGTAGGAGAGGTTTGATTGATTACCTGCAGGTTTGACTGCTTGGGTGATACCAATGTAGGAGAGGTTTGATTGATTACCTGCAGGTTTGACTGCTTGGGTGATACCAATGTAGGAGAGGTTTGATTGATTACCTTCAGGTTTGACTGCTTGGGTGATACTAATGTAGGAGAGGTTTGATTGATTACCTGCAGGTTTGACTGCTTGGGTGATACTAATGTAGGAGAGGTTTGATTGATTACCTGCAGGTTTGACTGCTTGGGGGGATACCAATGTAGGAGAGGTTTGACTGCTTGGGTGATACCAATGTAGGAGAGGTTTGATTGATTACCTGCAGGTTTGACTGCTTGGGTGATACCAATGTAGGAGAGGTTTGATTGATTACCTGCAGGTTTGACTGCTTGGGTGATACCAATGTAGGAGAGGTTTGATTGATTACCTGCAGGTTTGACTGCTTGGGTGATACCAATGTAGGAGAGGTTTGATTAATTACCTGCAGGTTTGACTGCTTGTGGGATACCAATGTAGGAGAGGTTTGATTGATTACCTGCAGGTTTGACTGCTTGTGGGATACCAATGAAGGAGAGGTTTGACTGCTTGGGTGATACCAATGTAGGAGAGGTTTGATTGATTACCTGCAGGTTTGACTGCTTGGGTGATACTAATGAAGGAGAGGTTTGATTGATTACCTGCAGGTTTGACTGCTTGGGTGATACTAATGAAGGAGAGGTTTGATTGATTACCTGCAGGTTTGACTGCTTGGGTGATACTAATGTAGGAGAGGTTTGATTGATTACCTGCAGGTTTGACTGCTTGGGTGATACTAATGTAGGAGAGGTTTGATTGATTACCTTCAGGTTTGACTGCTTGGGTGATACCAATGTAGGAGAGGTTTGATTGATTACCTTCAGGTTTGACTGCTTGGGTGATACCAATGTAGGAGAGGTTTGATTGATTACCTGCAGGTTTGACTGCTTGGGTGATACCAATGTAGGAGAGGTTTGATTGATTACCTGCAGGTTTGACTGCTTGGGTGATACCAATGTAGGAGAGGTTTGATTAATTACCTGCAGGTTTGACTGCTTGTGGGATACCAATGTAGGAGAGGTTTGATTGATTACCTGCAGGTTTGACTGCTTGGGGGATACCAATGTAGGAGAGGTTTGATTGATTACCTGCAGGTTTGACTGCTTGGGGGATACCAATGTAGGAGAGGTTTGATTGATTACCCGCAGGTTTGACTGCTTGGGGGATACCAATGAAGGAGAGGTTTGACTGCTTGGGTGATACCAATGTAGGAGAGGTTTGATTGATTACCTGCAGGTTTGACTGCTTGGGGGATACCAATGTAGGAGAGGTTTGATTGATTACCTGCAGGTATGACTGCTTGGGTGATACTAATGTAGGAGAGGTTTGACTGCTTGGGGGATACTAATGTAGGAGAGGTTTGATTGATTACCTGCAGGTTTGACTGCTTTGGTGATACTAATGAAGGAGAGGTTTGATTGATTACCTGCAGGTTTGACTGCTTGGGTGATACTAATGAAGGAGAGGTTTGATTGATTACCTGCAGGTTTGACTGCTTGGGTGATACTAATGTAGGAGAGGTTTGATTGATTACCTGCAGGTTTGACTGCTTGGGGGATATTATCTTCACCTTCCAGCTTACTCCATCTGATAGCTTCTTCTTTCTTTAGTCTGATCTCTATCTGTAATGCAAAAAATAAATAAGAGATAAACATTTGATATATCATATGTGATTAAAAATTGGTGACATTGATAAATTTTTGTCGAGTTATAGGGTAAGGGTTGGGCTGTGTTTGGGATTTAGCACAGGTTACTTTTAAAGATAAAGTGAGGTACATGTTTATCACTGGGTCCAGGGTTGAATTAATATAGAGGAATGACTTGTGTTAGAAACTGTCACTGGAGTGTTCACCTTTATCATAATATACATGTACTATTCTATGAAACAGTTTAATGAAGGCGGATGAAACACTGCACGTATGATCTCAAGGGTACAGTTAAGAAACAGTTATGAAAGAAATATATCCATTTATATGTTGATAACATTTTAACAGTAAGGGAAAATGATTTTTATATGGTCACTCTGCCTTTTAATAGTATAATTTTGACTGTCTTTTCATCCATTTTGCTCTGAAATTATAGAGACTTCTATTATCTCGCTGTATTTTGCCCTTCTCAAATTTTTAACACAGATACCTTGTATGGTTAAGGAAATCAAGGAGGGGGAGGGGGGGGGGGGGGACAAGTGAAAATTGATCACAATATCATCATCACATAAGTGCCTGGAATTTATTATTTGGATAAACTCTCATCAATGCAAGATAAACAGCAGCAGTAGCAACAAAAACAAACAAAACAAAACAAATATCTATATTATGAGAAATACATTTGAGCAATATAAAACAACACACAGTGATCTTACTTTACTATTGAGTATCCTAGTGGTGCTTTTCTCTGGAACGATGGGATGAGCTAGGTCTAATTCCAAGCTGTAATCACTCCCAGTGGGTTGCTTGACCGTTGCACTCAACTGTAATAATAATAATGATATAAATAATCTTATAAAACAATACAGTTACATACTAATGAGGCTTTGGGTGTTTTGTCTACAGCCAATTTTTTTTAGATGCAAAGGCTCTCAATTTGTCTTCATTCCCTTCACCCTGACTGCGCCGATTGATTCGGCCAGGGGTCCTGTTTCACTTGGTATTGTATCTTACAATTCAATTCTATAATTGTGCAATTGATTTAATGATTGATTTCCCTAGAGATTAAAACCGAAAGCTGCCACATTGTTTGGAGTATCGTGCTCCAAATGTGATGAAGAAGCTGTGGCTGTCTACTCTTTGTCCTATTAGTCTACCAAAGCAGGCTTTGAGTTATCATACAAATGATGAATGCTAATGATTCAATACTTGTATGACAGATGCACATATGCTCATCAAGGTTAATTAGTTTATATGGTGAATAAATGAAAGATGTTCAATATTTGTGTTGTCTTTTCGTGAATCTCTCTGATTCACACAATTTCCCGAAAAAGTGAGAAAAGATAAGAATGGACAATGTAATAATCCGAGGCACACTAATCCAAACATGTAGCTATTCATTCATTTATTTGAGGAGGGGCCGGAGGAGGACGGAAGTCATGGTAGAGATAGGGCAATTCAGCATCTTAACAAAATACAGGGTTAGAACGCAGCTGGCATTTCACTCATTATATACCTATGGACGTTGCCGTTACAGGTAGACTGAGGCAAAGAGGCAAAAGGGCAAAATCTTGTTTAAGTGCATGCTACAGGAGTTAGACAAAAATAGATGGAAATGCCTTCTGCACCCCTGTTTTGATCTCCCACTATGAGACGATAACCAAAACTTCCCAGTCCCCCAAAAATGAAAATCTCTATAGATCTCTCTCCAAAATCAGGAATATAGTCTATTTTGTATGCTTTTAAGCAGGGCTCCCACTTAGCCGAGTTGGGACCTCGAGTTGTGGCGAGCTGGCGCGATCTGATGGCAAGCCGTTTTATTATTAATTTATATCAATAAATCAATTCTTGTTATCAAGAAATAATCTTATGTTGTAAAGCAATGGTAATTCTTGATATCAAGAATTCGATTTCGTGATATCAGGAATTCGATTTTGTGATATCAAGAATTGAATTCTTGATATCAAGAAATATGTTTTAATGATAAAACTGCTTGCCATAAGATCGCGCCAGCCCGCCACAACTCGAGGCTCCAACTCGGCTAAGTGGGAGCCCTGCTTTACAAAGGAGTATTCAGAAAAAAGAGGGGAACTTCAGGTTTGATGGCAAAAAGAAAAAAATACTCAGCAAATTTGGGGCTGTGGGATTAAATAAGGGCAGAGGGATTAAGGTAAGAGGTAAGCTTACTGTAATCTTGGTGAGAATGATATTGACATCTTCTTCCTTGGCTTTCTTAATGAGTATATTGATGGTAACAAGTGTGTCTGTCTGGTACCAGTCATATCTGAAAATAAAAAGATCATTCCAAATATAGACAAGAGCAAGAGGATCAAATTATATTTTAAACTTTATCCTTAACCTATTGGAGCAGTTTCATTTCCTTCAACATATGTTTTCAATGTCTTTAATCTTAAGTTATCTTAGATTTAGTACTGACTCTAATAATACCGAACATGCCAAATTCGTCAAAATCATTGAAAGATACAAAATAATTACCCTTTTAGTTGTTAATTTTGCTGTTTATTGTTTGTTTACTACTATTTCATATTAAAGTGATAAGAGATCTTTAGCAAAATCTCAAATTTTCTATAAAAAAAACTAGATGGATGTTCTAATAAGAAGGCGTGCACAAGCTGTTTTTGCATATATGAGCCCCATGACCTTTGACCTCATGACCCCCAAATCTACTCAGTTCATTGGCTCTGCAAGATAAATACATGTTTTGAGTTTAATGATAATCTGTCTATCAGTTCTAATGATAATGTGATCATAAGCTATTTTTGCAAACATAATGAGCCCTGTGATCTTTGACCATTGTCCCCCAAAATCTAGCTCTGCTAGATACATACATGACCTAAGTTATATTATTTTGATCGAGCAAAAAATTGGCGCTAGTTCAGAATCAAATCAACTTTGACCCGTAACTCTGGCGTGGAGACTACTGAAACAAACAAAAAATCTTCATCAATTGTTCAAAAAATGGTCATGGTTTAAAAAATGTTTCATACCTGTTTTGTGTTAATTTTGTTATCTCTTTTGGAGTATTTTTTCAAAAAACAAAGACATTATAATCAGGGCTGTCAACCCTCCCGCATTTGGAGGGAGTCCAACGCCACCACGCTCATTCTCCCTCCGCCCCAAAAGCTCGTAGCGGGAGACTCCCGCCACCACGCCTTCCTCCCGCTCTCCCGCCAACGATGTAGAATCTCCCGGTTTATGAAAAAACCTCCCGCCAAACCGTATCGTATACCCCCCCAAAAAAAGTGCTCTTACACCCCCTCCCCTGCTTATTCAGCGGTTGGCTGATTCGTTGCGAAATTTTTGACGCGATTTTGTTTGCATACGATACGGTACGCTGGTTCGTCTGAAGAAAAAAAACTCCCTCCAAGCAGCTTCCCAAAGTTGACAGCCCTGTATAATATACACTTTCTCATACTCACAGGTTTCACAGCAAACCGTGCACAATTACAATACAATTGCATACCATACCGAAGATGGGGTGTGGGCCGGCGCATGCATGAAGTTAGCCATAATGTGAATTAATTACATGAATTTAATGAGGATCTGAGATTTCAGTCGCTAACTTTGTACCGCACCTCACCGTCGGTATGGTATGCAATTGTATTGCGCAGCGGTTTGCCGTGAAACTTGTGAGAAAGTGTATGTTTTGTCTACCGTAATCAAAATTGACCAATTTCTTTTTTTGCTGAAAATAATTTGATGGTTTTATAGTTAGCCTGGACTTCCCTTTCACAATAATAGATCTCGCATCAGCATCAGCATCATGCCATTTGTAAAGTGTTCTTATCTTGAGAGCATTTGAGTTTACCTCTGCTTTTGAGGTGGTGGCACAGGATTTGGTTGTTGAGTTTGAGGGGTTACCAAGGTTTCAGGTTGCTTCTCATTCTGGTCATTCACTGACGCCATTATAAGCTATGATGTTGTACACTGGTCCAACTGTCTATGAAAAAATAAAACATTGTAAAGATAGTTTTTTTCTTCATATTTGTTATTAGTGTACAAAAGAAAAACACAGAAGATAGACTTATTCAACTCTATCAATACAACCAAATTAGGTATTTGACAACGATTTTGATGACTCTAGACTGACAGTCAAGGCGCACACCCGATTTGGAAGACTGTCTCCCATATTGGGGATATTGGAGATACAGGACAAAAGAAACAACACCAACAAAGCTATTTTTCCCAGCTAAATTGTTGTCTCTCTGATGTCAGGATCCCATTGGTTTTGTGTGCGAATCATTACATAAACTGTTATGAACACATAAGTAGAAGGTGAATTTTTGAAAGAAGGAGGTCAAAAGGGGATAATTATTCATGAGAATTCTTCAAAATTCCAAAGTTTGCTTCTACGAATTTCATTAGTACAAGTTCAAAGATTTTAAAAAATTGACAGAAGATGGAAAGATAAAGGTGCACAACAGTCGAATGTATAAAACATAGCTTACAATCTGATTTTTGACACTTGTATTAAAATTATTTAAAAATCATATATTGACATGCAACGAGCAGAAAATACATTTTATCATTTAAATATTGAAATAAAGATTTTTGTCTTACAATTTAATATTTCCAAAAAACTTTTCAAACAGCAGTTTTCATAAACAATAGATAAATTGACATTTTAAAGGTACTATGTCCCTTTTGCAGCCAACCTCAAATTCTGTAGAACTTTGCAGGAATTATGAAAATGTCATGTATGTCCTATCTGTGAAATTTAAACGTTAGCAGTGTCCTCATATTCAAAACATAGCTTACAATCTGATTTTTGACACTTGTATTAAAATTATTTAAAAATCATATATTGACATGTAACGAGCAGAAAATACATTTTATCATTTAAATATTGAAATAAAGATTTTTGTCTTACAATTTAATATTTCCAAAGAACTTTTCAAACAGCAGTTTTCATAAACAATAAATAAATTGATATTTTAAAGGTACTATGTCCCTTTTGCAGCCAACCTCAAATTCTGTAGAACTTTGCAGGAATTATGAATATGTCATGTATGTCCTATCTGTGAAATTTAAACGTTAGCAGTGTCCTCATATTCAAATTATGCAAGGAAACCCGTTTACTTGCTAGACTTCACTGTCAGACACTATTGAGTGACTGACTGGCTTTTTTTCTTCTTTGGTAATAACATACATGAAAAGAGTTGTAAAGGGTACATGAGCATGTGTCTACATCAATAACCACTTCTTGTGATGGCCAAGATTAAACTGATTGAATCTTTGCGCAGCATAAAACGTATGACCATTCGGTACAATTGTCTGAAAATCAAGACTATTGATTTTGGGCTCTATAGCCCTAAAGTCGATTTGACAACTAATAGTCATTATTTTCCCACTTGAAGACATTTTCAAGCCCCACCTTTTTTAGGGAAGTAGACTAGAAGGGATGATATTTAGATGACGTCATGCGCAGCGAGAGTTAAAATAGATCTACCGCTTGCAAGATTTTCAACATGGATGTCAATTTCAACCCATAATTTCCTGAAAATGGACCATTAAATGGATTTATTCAGTCAAGTTGGTAAGTGGAACCGACGTATAATAGCCTAGGCCTATTCAATTTAGAAAATAGAATAAATGGGGGATTTGGGGGGCATAAAAATATGGCAGTAAATGGCCATGGTTTTTTGAAAGAAAATGCCGATGATCGGTTTCCATCTCTAAAGAGAGGAGCCGACCCTTACCACCGCTGTATGAGTGTTATTCAGCGCATTATATGGAAGCAGCACATTTACAAAGTGCCAGTCAGAGGTCATCACCATTGTGTAGAGATCGTGAATTCACACGGTACACGTGAAAAGGGAGCTGAGCTGTATCGGTCTGGTAAGAAAATTGCTTTTATTTTATTATTTTTACCTCCGATTTTTAAATTCAGGAGGTAATTAGGACTGAATTACAACAAAATTTATCAAAGCCACTGTCCAATATTGGTCAGGTGCGGGAAAGTGTGATTTTGGACACATTTTGGTTGTTGTTTACCTACCTCTCCGTGGGACCCTATGGGTGCCGTTTAAGGCTCCCTCGAATAATATCATAAAAAAACATTTCGAGGGAGCCCTTAACTAGCTATGCGCGATGACGTCGTCATGCGCACCCTGGCCTAAATAGTAAATACGACTCCCTAAATACAGGTTTGAATCGCAATTTGGTAATAACAACATTGACCAATTATGCATGAGCGCGCATTGCACGTAGACTGCATAGGGATGCATGCAATCTCTATGCCTATGGGAAAGATTTTAGCACACAAAACCGAGTGCGCGATCAGAACGAGTAAGAAAATGTTGAAAACTATAAGTGTACCCACACAAATCTTAACACATGGGACCACTATTTAAATTTCACGAGTGTTTTTTGTTCTCGAACAGATTTTCCTTTCATTTAGTCTACTGTTAAAATAACAAATCTCAAATAACTCCGCCCTTTTTTATACTTTCCATACATAATAACATAAAATGAATGACTTACCTTTATTTAAGTTCAATAACTAGACAATGCACAGCGACTGACGGACGGTTTTCTAGAAAACTCTCTATCGCTCCTTGAATCTGGCGACCACAAGTTCAGCGACCAATTACGGTGTCTTCAAAAGGGTAAAAAGAAAAAAGAAAAGATAATTTTTTTCCGCTCATTTTCTTTAGATGCTTCTCGTTAGAAAATGTAATGAGTAATGAGTAATAACTTCTGGCTTTTTGGTGGTACATTTCACTTGTCGGAGGAACATGTCTTGACCTTATTGTTTAACTTTAATATCGGCTCTGTGGTCTGAAAATATCGGTAAATCCGGACAATGGCATGATATCCCTTTCAAAATGAGGTGCTTAACTCTCAAGGCGCATTTATCTTTGGCCGAAATTTGTTATTCTTAGCTGATTACATATTCTGAAAGAGGGGATTTCCAGCTTTCTGGTGGTATGGTCACCTGCCGGGGGATGATGTCTGGACCTTACTGTTTAACTCTAGAGTCGGCTCTGTATTCTGAAAATGTTCGGTCATTTCGCCCAACAGCTTCAAATCCCGAGTACGCAATCCAACATGAGGTGCCTAACTGTCAAGGCGCCTTTATTTTTGGCCGACATTTTTTATTCTTAGCTGATTACATATTCAAATAGAGGGGATCTCCAGCTTTCTGGTGGTATAGGTCACCTGCCGGGGGAAGATGTCTGGACCTTACTGTTTAACTATTAAATCTGCTCTGTATTCTGAAAATGTTCGGTCATTTCGCACAAAAGCTTTAAATCCCGAGGACGCAATCCAAAATGAGGTGCCTAACTGTCAAGGCGGCTTTATCTTTGGCCGACATTCTTTATTCTTAGCTGATAACATATTCTAAAAGAGTAAATTTCCAGCTTTCTGGTGGTATAGGTCAGCTGCCGGGGGAAGATGTCTGGACCTTACTGTTTAACTATTAAATCTGCTCTGTATTCTGAAAATGTTCGGTCATTTCGCACAAAAGCTTTAAATCCCGAGGACGCAATCCAAAATGAGGTGCCTAACTGTCAAGGCGGCTTTATCTTTGGCCGACATTCTTTATTCTTAGCTGATAACATATTCTAAAAGAGTAAATTTCCAGCTTTCCGGAGGTATAGGTCACCTGCCGGGGGAAGATGTCTGGACCTTACTGTTTAACTTTAATATTGGCTCTGTATACTGAAAATGTTCGGTTTTTTCGAACACTAACGTCATATCCCGTTAAAAAATAGCATTCCAAAATAAGATGCCCAAATGTCAGGACGCCTGAATCTTTGGCCGACATTTTTTATTCTTAGCTGATTACATATTCTAAAAGAGTAAATTTCCAGCTTTCTGGAGGTATAGGTCACCTGCCGGGGGAAGATGTCTGGACCTTACTGTTTAACTTTAATATCGGCTCTGCATTCTGAAAATGTTCGGTTTTTCCGAACACTAACGTCATATCCCGTTAAAATATAGCATTCCAAAATAAGATGCCCAAATGCCAGGACGCCTGAATCTTTGGCCAACATTTTTTATTCTTAGCTGATTACATATTCTAAAAGAGTAAATTTCCAGCTTTCTGGTGGTATAGGTCAGCTGCCGGGGGAAGATGTCTGGACCTTACTGTTTAACTTTAATATTGGCTCTGTATTCTGAAAATGTTCGGTTTTTTCGAACAATAGCGTCATATCCCGTTAAAATAGCATTCCAAAATAAGATACCCAAATGTCAGGACGCCTGAATCTTTGGCCGACATTTTTTATTCTTAGCTGATTACATATTCTAAAAGAGTAAATTTCCAGCTTTCTGGTGGTATAGGTCACCTGCCGGGGGAAGATGTCTGGACCTTACTGTTTAACTTTAATATCGGCTCTGCATTCTGAAAATGTTCGGTTTTTCCGAACACTAACGTCATATCCCGTTAAAATAGCATTCCAAAATAAGATGCCCAAATGCCAGGACGCCTGAATCTTTGGCCGACATTTTTTATTCTTAGCTGATTACATATTCTAAAAGAGGGAATTTCCAGCTTTCTGGTGGTATAGGTCACCTGCCGGGGGGAGATGTCTGGACCTTACTGTTTAACTTTAATATTGGCTCTGTATACTGAAAATGTTCGGTTTTTCCGAACACTAGCGTCATATCCCGTTAAAATAGCATTCCAAAATAAGATGCCCAAATGTCAGGACGCCTGAATCTTTGGCCGACATTTTTTATTCTTAGCTGATTACATATTCTAAAAGAGTAAATTTCCAGCTTTCTGGTGGTATAGGTCACCTGCCGGGGGAAGATGTCTGGACCTTACTGTTTAACTTTAATATCGGCTCTGCATTCTGAAAATGTTCGGTTTTTCCGAACAATAGCGTCATATCCCGTTAAAATAGCATTCCAAAATAAGATGCCCAAATGTCAGGACGCCTGAATCTTTGGCCGACATTTTTTATTCTTAGCTGATTACATATTCTAAAAGAGTAAATTTCCAGCTTTCTGGTGGTATAGGTCACCTGCCGGGGGAAGATGTCTGGACCTTACTGTTTAACTTTAATATCGGCTCTGCATTCTGAAAATGTTCGGTTTTTCCGAACAATAGCGTCATATCCCGTTAAAATAGCATTCCAAAATAAGATGCCCAAATGTCAGGACGCCTGAATCTTTGGCCAACATTTTTTATTCTTAGCTGATTACATATTCTAAAAGAGTAAATTTCCAGCTTTCTGGTGGTATAGGTCACCTGCCGGGGGAAGATGTCTGGACCTTACTGTTTAACTTTAATATCGGCTCTGCATTCTGAAAATGTTCGTTTTTTCCGAACACTAACGTCATAATCCGTTAAAATAGCATTCCAAAATAAGATGCCCAAATGCCAGGGCGCCTGAATCTTTGGCCGACATTTTTTATTCTTAGCTGATTACATATTCTAAAAGAGGGAATTTCCAGCTTTCTGGTGGTATAGGTCACCTGCCGGGGGAAGATGTCTGAACCTTACTGTTTAACTTTAATATTGGCTCTGTATTCTGAAAATGTTCGGTTTTTCCGAACAATAGCTTCAAATCCCGTTCAAGCAATCCAAAATGAGGTGCCTAACTGTCAAGGCACCTTTCTCTTTGGCCGACATTTTTTATTCTTAGCTGATAACATATTCTAAAAGAGTAAATTTCCAGCTTTCTGGAGGTATAGGTCACCTGCCGGGGGAAGATGTCTGGACCTTACTGTTTAACTTTAATATCGGCTCTGCATTCTGAAAATGTTCGGTTTTTCCGAACACTAACGTCATATCCCGTTAAAATAGCATTCCAAAATAAGATGCCCAAATGCCAGGACGCCTGAATCTTTGGCCGACATTTTTTATTCTTAGCTGATTACATATTCTAAAAGAGGGAATTTCCAGCTTTCTGGTGGTATAGGTCACCTGCCGGGGGAAGATGTCTGAACCTTACTGTTTAACTTTAATATTGGCTCTGTATTCTGAAAATGTTCGGTTTTTCCGAACAATAGCTTCAAATCCCGTTCAAGCAATCCAAAATGAGGTGCCTAACTGTCAAGGCGCCTTTCTCTTTGGCCGACATTTTTTATTCTTAGCTGATAACATATTCTAAAAGAGTAAATTTCCAGCTTTCTGGTGGTATAGGTCACCTGCCGGGGGAAGATGTCTGGACCTTACTGTTTAACTTTAATATCGGCTCTGCATTCTGAAAATGTTCGGTTTTTCCGAACACTAGCGTCATATCCCGTTAAAATAGCATTCCAAAATAAGATGCCCAAATGTCAGGACGCCTGAATCTTTGGCCGACATTTTTTATTCTTAGCTGATTACATATTCTAAAAGAGTAAATTTCCAGCTTTCTGGTGGTATAGGTCACCTGCCGGGGGAAGATGTCTGGACCTTACTGTTTAACTTTAATATCGGCTCTGCATTCTGAAAATGTTCGGTTTTTCCGAACACTAACGTCATAATCCGTTAAAATAGCATTCCAAAATAAGATGCCCAAATGCCAGGGCGCCTGAATCTTTGGCCGACATTTTTTATTCTTAGCTGATTACATATTCTAAAAGAGGGAATTTCCAGCTTTCTGGTGGTATAGGTCACCTGCCCGGGGAAGATGTCTGAACCTTACTGTTTAACTTTAATATTGGCTCTGTATTCTGAAAATGTTCGGTTTTTCCGAACAATAGCTTCAAATCCCGTTCAAGCAATCCAAAATGAGGTGCCTAACTGTCAAGGCGCCTTTCTCTTTGGCCGACATTTTTTATTCTTAGCTGATAACATATTCTAAAAGAGTAAATTTCCAGCTTTCTGGAGGTATAGGTCACCTGCCGGGGGAAGATGTCTGGACCTTACTGTTTAACTTTAATATCGGCTCTGCATTCTGAAAATGTTCGGTTTTTCCGAACACTAACGTCATATCCCGTTAAAATAGCATTCCAAAATAAGATGCCCAAATGCCAGGACGCCTGAATCTTTGGCCGACATTTTTTATTCTTAGCTGATTACATATTCTAAAAGAGTAAATTTCCAGCTTTCTGGTGGTATAGGTCACCTGCCGGGGGAAGATGTCTGGATCTTACTGTTTAACTTTAATATTGGCTCTGTATTCTGAAAATGTTCGGTTTTTTCGAACAATAGCGTCATATCCCGTTAAAATAGCATTCCAAAATAAGATACCCAAATGTCAGGACGCCTGAATCTTTGGCCGACATTTTTTATTCTTAGCTGATTACATATTCTAAAAGAGTAAATTTCCAGCTTTCTGGTGGTATAGGTCACCTGCCGGGGGAAGATGTCTGGACCTTACTGTTTAACTTTAATATCGGCTCTGCATTCTGAAAATGTTCGGTTTTTCCGAACACTAGCGTCATATCCCGTTAAAATAGCATTCCAAAATAAGATGCCCAAATGCCAGGACGCCTGAATCTTTGGCCGACATTTTTTATTCTTAGCTGATTACATATTCTAAAAGAGGGAATTTCCAGCTTTCTGGTGGTATAGGTCACCTGCCGGGGGAAGATATCTGGACCTTACTGTTTAACTTTAATATCGGCTCTGCATTCTGAAAATGTTCGTTTTTTCCGAACACTAACGTCATAATCCGTTAAAATAGCATTCCAAAATAAGATG